GCCCGCTGGTGACAATGGCTCTGCTGGAAGATTTCCTCCAAAAACACAAGGCATTTGAACCGGATTTGTGAGTGAGGAGTCCATCATATAACAGATGTACTGTGGAGAAACTCAGCAGACACAGGCATTAAGCGTTCTGACCTGGAATGGGAGTGGAGATATGAAGTCTTTCCCACTCACGCTGTGGACATTCACACAGGTGCTCTGGACGATACACACCGTCTTCTCCACAACATCCTTTACTGAAGATCATGGGGAAAACAATCACTCAACAGCAACAAAAAATTCTAGGAACAACATTTAGCTTCATATACTTGCTACTGACAAGAGACAAAGCAATTAAAAATGCAATAAATAAATAAAACCATGCAATAAAAAGACACACAAATTAAGTAAATATATTAAATAAAAAATATAAATTATATACTGATAAAAATAAATAAAACAACAAAAATAATAAATAAAAAAGAAATGTAAAAAATATTTTTTTAAACTACATGAAAATAAATTTTAAAATAAAAATTAATTATACTAATAATAAAATAATTGTTTTTTTCCCTTTATTTTTATTTTTTTTACTTTATGTGTGGAAACTATAATATAACAACAAAAATATATACAATTCTTACCATCTTTTTTAGACTGGGGGATGGTGAAATTACACCATAGAGCCTATAAAATAATTAGTAAAATTATATTATACTTGTGTATTATACTATAATTGTCAGCATGAAAAGTGATTCTTAATACAACAGCCCCAAAAACCTTTTAAGCACATGAAAAATGTATTTTGTATTGCATACAAAACTACTACTACTACTACTAACCAAATGGTAATTACTATATTGTTCACACTATAACCTAAAATGGCTCATAAAAGTCATGTTTGTTCAGAGAAAAGGTTTAGCATCATTTGTTTGCAGACAGTACCTGCTGAACTGGGCTGTCCACCGTGAAGGCCTTGTACACGTATGAGGCTTGATTCTTACTGCCACGACTCCATATGACCATGTTTCCAGCCACATACAGCTCCTCCTCATATTCAACCTCATAAGGAGCAGTTCCCTTCCTCAGCTGCCAGTGCTCCTGCCAATCACATCACAATCATACTTAAAACATGCAGTATTTTAATTGAGAACAGTTTGATTTTGCTTAAAGGGGTCATCCGATGCCCATTTTCCACAAGTTGATATGAT